AAAAACACATATATCACTGCCTCTAGTAATTATGTCCACCCAAACATGTATATGCACAAAAAAAGCTGAGTATCATTTACCATGTATTCAACTGTGAAAGCAGAATAACAAAACTACAATAAAAACACATATATCACTGCCTCTAGTAATTATGTCCACAAAAACATGTATATGCACAAAAGCTGAGTATCATTTGCCATGTATTCAACTGTGAAAGCAGAATAACAAAACTACAATAGAAAACACAATATCATCAAAATGCCTCTAGTAATTATGTCCACCCAAAAACATGTATATGCACAAAAGCTGAGTATCATTTACCATGTATTCAATTGTGAAAGCAGAATAACAAAACTACAATAAAAACACACATATCACTGCCTCTAGTAATTATGTCCACCCAAACATGTATATGCACAAAAGCTGAGTATCATTTACCATGTATTCAACTGTGAAAGCAGAATAACAAAACTACAATAAAAACACACATATCATCACTGCCTCTAGTAATTATGTCCACAAAAACATCTATATGCAAAAAGCTGAGTATCATTTGCCATGTATTCAACTGTGAAAGCAGAATAACAAAACTACAATAAAAACACACATATCACTGCCTCTAGTCATTATGTCCACCCAAACATGTATATGCACAAAAGCTGAGTATCATTTGTATTCATGTAAAGCAACTGTGAAAGCAGAATAACAAAAACTATATGCATAAAAAACATCACATATCACTGCCTCTAGTAATTATGTCCACACAAAACATCTATAATGCACAAAAAAAACATGTATATCATTTACCATGTATTCAACTGTATTCAAAGCAGAATAACAAAAACTACAATATAAAACACACATATCACTGCCTCTAGTCATTATGTCCACCCAAACATGTATATGCACAAAAAAGCAGAGTATCATTTACCATGTATTCAACTGTGAAAGCAGAATAACAAAAATACAATATAAAAACACACATATCACTGCCTCTAGTAATTATGTCCACCCAAACATCTATATATGCACAAAAGCTGAGTATCATTTACCATGTATTCAACTGTGAAAGCAGAATAACAAAATATCATAAAAAACACACATATCACTGCCTCTAGTAATTATGTCCACAAAAACATGTATATATAATGCACAAAAGTAGAGTATCATCTACCATGTATTCAACTGTGAAAGCAGAATAACAAAACTATAATAAAAAACACATATATCACTGCCTCTAGTCATTATGTCCATAAAACATCTATATGCATAAAAGCTGAGTATCATTTACCAAACAACAAATTCAATTGTGAAAAAGCAGAATAACAAAACTAAATAACTACAAAACACACATATCAAATTGGTAGTCATTATGTCCACCCAAACATCAACTATATGCAGAAAAATATATAGAGTATCATTTACCATGTATTCAAAATATGAAAGCAGAATAACAAAACCATATTCAATAAAAACACACATATCACACATATCCTCTAGTAATTATGTCCACAAAAACATCTATATGCAAAAAAGCTGAGTATCATCTACCATGTATTCAACTTGTGAAAGCAGAATAACAAAACTAAAATTTATTAAACACAATCATATCAAAGAATGTCTATGCAGTTAAAAAGCTTTTATCAAACATCTATATGCAAAAAAGCTGAGTATAAATCTAACCATGTATAACTATTCAACATTATGAAAACATTTATAATTTTAATAACATAAAAAATAGAAAACATAAAATATCAAGCCTCTAATCATTATGTCCACACCAAACATCTATATTATGTCCAAAAAAACTATCAAAAAAATCATTTACTACATGTATTCAACTGTGAAAGCAAAATAAAAAAAAATGAAAAAAAAACAAACATGAATCATTTCCTCTAATCATTAAAATTTATTTAAAATATCTATATGCACAAAAGCCAACAATTCAAATTTGGGTTATTCAACTTGTGAAAACAGAATAACAAAAACCTACAATAGAAAACACAATATAAAAATCTAGTTTATGTCCACTTTTGAAGACAAAAGCTGAATTTCTATATTCAAACAAATGTATTTTAACAAACATATATGATTTTAAAAATCATCTAACAAAAAAAAAAAATATAAATTACATATCACTGTAAATAGAATTATTATAAACAAACATATAAAATTTACATTTAAGCTATGCATGCTAATATGTATTCCAACTGTCAAAAAGCAGAATAACATAACTCAAAAAAACATTCAACTGCCTCTAGTCAATTATGTCAAAATGAAAAAGCTCAGATTTATATGCACAAAAGTAGAAAATTATTTAAATTAATTCAACATGAACTCTAAAAGCCTTAACTTATTATTCAAACACACATTTCAAATTTATCTTAATTTATTTATGTCCACAAACATTAACATAAATATGCAAGTATTTAAAAATGAATTATTTTTGAAAAATTCTCAATTTAAATTTCCACAAAAAAAATAACAAAAACAAAATAAAAATTTAAAATTTAATTTCTATCAGAAAATGTATATCAAAATGTTTAAATCAAAAAACACCCAAACATGTATAGTATAATAATATATATATAAAAATTTTCAATTATTAAATATCCACAATATTGAAAAATTATAAAAAATGTAAATAAATAAAACACACATATCAAACTGCCTCTAGTCATTATGTTTCAAAAAACATCTATATGCACAAAAGTAAGATATTTTATTTGTATAAATTCAATTTTATATGTAGCAGAATAACAAAACTACAATAGAAAAAACATATTGAAAAGAAAGATCATAAAATGAATTCAACGGATTAAAGCAGAAAATATAAAAAATTACATTCATTATATATATTTAAAATGTAATTAAAATCTTTTTATATTACCATGTATTTTTGGGAAAGCAGAATTATATATTTAAAATAATTTATTTAGGGTTTAAAAAAACATTTGCACAAAAGCAAAATAACATTTATCAAAGTAAAATGAAAATTTATCATAATTTTTTATGTCAAAATTTTTCATCTATATGCACAAAAGAAAAATGAAATATCATTACCATGTATTCAAAATGAAAGCAGAATAAAAAAACTATTTTATATAAAAAATTGTATAAATATCTAAAAATTTTTGTCCACCCAAACATCTATATATTATTTTTAAGTTTGTATATAAAATAATTTATTCAACTGTTTAAAAGCATAATAATTTTAAACTACAAAATGAAAATTTAATATCACTGCCTGAAATCATTATGTCCACCCAAAATCTATATGTCAAAAAAAGTATCATTTATTGATAACCTGTATTCAACTGTTATAAGCAAAATAAAATTTTACAATAGAAAAATTCAATATCACTTTCTATTCATTATGTCCAACCAAACATTTATATGCACAAAAGCTGTAATTTCATTTATGTAAAATTCAATTCAATAATAGAATTTATAAACATAAAAAAAAGAAAATGAATTAAATCATATTTCTCTAAAGTTTATATTGCATAAATATATATAAACATATATATATATAAATATATATATCATTTAAATATTTATTCAAATATACTGTAAAAACAGAATAACATATATAATATTTATTTTTATGAATTTGAAATATATAAAAAAAAAAAAAAAAAAAAAAAAAAAAAAAAAATTGCTAAAAATGTATAGTTGGTAAAACAAATTAATCCATCAAAGTCAATCTGAAAAACAGATGGCTATTTGAATATCAGAAAAATAGCCGTTGATGCTGTTGAGAAAGATTGTAATTAGACTAAATAATTGATACTGAACATAAGAAAAAAGGGAGAGGCAGAAATTTAAAAAAAGAAAATTTTCAACAAATAAGAAAAAGTAAAAAAAAAAAAAAAAATAAAATTTTTTTGAAGAGATAAAAAGACAAAGATATATAAATATATATATATATATATATATATATATATATATTAAATATAAATTATAAAATATAAAAAAAAATAAAAGAAAATTCAAAAAAAACGTGAAAGACAGAATTTGACTTTGTAATGGAATTTTTTATTCAAGGAGAAAATGAATAAGTAGAGATTAATGTTATTTCACAATTTCCAAGACTAAATGTTTTTTGAAGATATACTCTTCATTTTGATTTGCCTATAAAATCTATTTTTTCTTTTAAAAAAAATTTATTTAAAAATAAAATATGAGATAAAATAAAAACAATTATGTCTGCACAAAAAATTCGATTATCTAAATATGTATTCAACTGTATTTTTTGGCATATATCATTTTTTTTAATTTGTCAAAGTCTCAAGAAAATTAAATTTCAGCATAAAATGACCCATAAATGTGTTGATATGCTGTTAAACAAATCAAATCAATCAATCTAGGGATTATCATTAGAGATTAAAGTTTTGTTTAAAATTTTGAATCCTCCTGCTTGTTTCCATCAGTATTAAAATATTTGTTTTTTTTATTTTGTTGTCAGGAAAATGTTTTCAATTCTTCCTTAGATATTTAGTTCTCCCAACTTTCTCTGGTATACTCTGTGGGATTGCTCCAAGTGCATCAACAACAACTGACACTACTGTCACCTTGATGTTCCATAATTTTTTCAGGTCCCTTGCAAGAACTACATATTTATTGGGCTCTTCACTTTCATTCAGTTTTGCTATGCAATCGGTTGGGACAACGAAATTCACAAAGTGACAAATTTCCTTCTCTATTTTTTATTTATTATATTTATCTGGTCTGCTATACCTATACTAAATGATCTATTTGATTAAAAGTTTTTTTTAAATTTTATTCTGATTTGTGCATTTACCACTGGAGGAAAGTTTGAACCCTAACCCGTTTATATAGTGCCAAGTGGATCAACCTTTCCACACAACCATGACTATATCTATATTCTTTTCCAGGTCAACTTATTCATTTATTTTATAGATTGTTAATAGATCTCTCTCTCTCTCTCTATATATATATATATATTATATATAGATAGATAGATATATAATAGATACAGTAGATAGATAGATAGATAGATAGATAATAAATCATAATATAGATTTGCAGCTATAGATAGATAGATAGATATATATATAGCTATAGATATATGTAATTTAAAAGCTAGTAGATAAAAGATAGAAAAGGAAAAGCTAACAAAAGCTAGCATGCTAGATAATAATTGATTGAATGAATATTTATAGCTATAGATAAAGCTAGATAGATAAATTAGCTATAGATATAGCTAGATAGATAGATATTATAGCTATAGAAATACAGCTAGATAGATATAATAGATAGATATATAATATATATAAATATATATATATATATAGATAATAGATATAAATACAGCTATAGCTAGATAGATAGATAATGTATAGAATATAGCTATAGATAAAGATAAATAAATAATATATAGATATAATATATTAATTATATATATAGCTATTAAATAATATATGATATATATATAGATATATATATATATATAGATATATATATATATTATATAATCTAGCTAAAACTATTCTAGATAGATAGATAGATAGATAGATAGATTGTTTTAGTAATATTTTATTTAAAAAATATTTTACATTGCAACACAGAAATTTCTATGTTTCGGAATTTTAAATTTGTTCCATTATCAAGCAATGTTAGGTAACTCTTGGTCAAAATGTTAAATATTTTTTAAATAGAAATATTATTAAAATATTATGCTCTGTGTTGTATCAAGTACTTTTAAAAAAAAATAAATGCTAAAGAACTGTGGATTATTAATCTGACTGTTCTTTCTCTTTATATATATATATATATATATATATATATATACAAACTACACATTATTAAGTTTCTAAATAATAAAAATCTATTAAACAATAGACAAATAGTTAACGTTTTTTTGCCGACATCATCAAATTTTTGCATTAAATAATTAGCATAAAAAAACAAACAAACAATAAAATAATTTTTAGCCCTTCCATAGTCTAAATAAATAGTTTAAATACCCTATAAAAAAAAATATAATAAGATAAAAAATAAAAAATAAAGATAACCCTTTATGAAGTCGTCAAAAAAACAAATGTTAGCGACTTACGACAGTTTTTTTATATACACAAAACCCTTTCAGAAAAATAAAAAAAGAAAATAAAAAAAGAAAATAAATCTCCATAGACACTTAACCAGACTAGGCGATGTCATCTTCTGCTTTAAATTTAGACACCCCAACCTTACCCTGACTTGACCTTTTTGAATGTAACTGAGATATTGATACAAATTATTAACCCTTACACCTCTTTTCTTTAAACAATTGCTCTAGCCGTTACCATAGTGATTTTAATTTCAATATTGAATATGCTTATAAAACGCGTAAATTTCAGGAATAAGTTATTCCAGTAAAAATTTCGCTTGAAGATGGAACAGAGCTTAGTACTTTAATTCAATTTAATTCAAATAATTATATTGAAGTTTTCGGCTCTTGTTTTGAAACATGAGAACTCTTATGTAGCATTGGAATCATATTTTTAAATAAATAATTATATTTATGCTCTACTTTTGTATCGAGCACTATTTTTCAAAAATAATAACTAAAATACTAAAGAACTTTGGATTATTTACCTAACGAGTTCTTTCCTATTTTCTATATATTTTTACACACACACACACACACACACATATATATATATAGATATAATTATCATTAACCTATTGAATACCCATGGCAAATATTCGGAGGAGCTCCATTCTTTCATTTCACAATTTCAGACCTTTACAACTCTAACACAACATGCTACTTCCACGAAATCAAATCACTCACATTTTCTCTGTATTCCAAATGTACAAAGAAAAATAACCCCCCACCAAGAACTCATACTTTTTGAAACACACTCCTTCATGGATACTTCCTTGAACACTATAATTTTCACATCTTCAGGTCAAGGGTCAATACTTATCCACTTTACCCACATAATCTTCACTTCCTACCCCCTCCTCTTTCATTCATATCACACACCTCATTCAATATAACCATTTCAACACTAACCCTCCACATTACAATCTTAACCTATTCAAGACAAGGATCAATCCTTATCTATCCACCTTATCCTCATAATCTTCACAATCTAACACATCTTTCATTCATATCACACACCTTTTCAACATAACTATTTTGAGAATAACCCTCTACACAGCTGGCTTAACCTTTCCAAGTGAAATGTTAATCAATATCTATCCTCCTTATCCTCATAATCTTCACTTCCTACCACCTCCTCTTTCATTCATATTACAAACCTCATTCATCATAACCATTTTAACTTATAACACTCTACACTACAATCTTAAGTCAAGGGTCATTCCTTATCTATCCTCCTTATCCTCATAATCTTCCTTCCTTACCACCTCTTCTTTCATTCGTATCACACACTTCATTCAGCATAACCATTTTAACAGTAACTTTTTTCTTTAATTTTCAGTCAAGCTAGCTTGTACATTTATGAGTCTATCATGCTAACCATTAAAAGGTTGAAAAGTCACTAGAGTGGTATTCTAGCTCATAACATAGATGGTCAATGTAGGTGGTTGCTGGGCGACCAGCCCAACTTGCACCATGGCTAGGTGTCTGAAGCAGTGGATCACTCAGTAACCATCTACACTACCTTAACCTCTTCAGGATGGTAGCACCTGTTAGGGTCCCAGCTATAGGTAAATAGTTAACCCCTAAACTTTCATAGTAAAAATACCAGCAAGACATTTTTGAAGAAAGAATTATTACCAGCAATACATTTGACTGTCAACAAAAACCATCTTTAGAAAAATATATCAATTAAACCTGATCTTCAAACTGATTTATTACAAAGAATACATATTTTATTCATATGAACTGATGTAATGGAATAACCTGTCACCCTCATGAGTGACTACACTATAGTTAGTAACTACCTATAAGTATCTGTAAGTCAACAAACTACAGAGACCAGGTGGAATCTGTTCCAGTTGTGTCAAACTCTCTGCCTGAAGGCAGAGAGGAACTCGGATGAGGCTATGCTGAAGTCCAGTCCCTCGTCTGGGGAGGTAGACACACCTGAACCCGTTTATGCAAATTCTACAGGGAATTTTTGGCTGAGCTTACAGGCTCAGATGACCCACTCAACGTTGTGACATATCTACCCTTGTGGGGAGGGGATAGAAAATATTGACGAGCTGGAATCTTTTCCACCTGTGCTGGTTAAACTCTCTACTTTTGGGCAGAGAGCATCCCCAGATGAGGCTGAGGCTGTGTTGAAGGGCAGAGTCTCATCTTGGGAAACAGCTACCTGACCTCATTTTATATGGGGTCTACAGGGAATTTTTTGCTGAGCCTATGGGCTCGGATTGCCCCACATTAAATTCAGCCTTGTGCCACATCCTACCTTGTGGGGAGGCTGATAAATATTGACTATTGGGATCTGTTGAGTATAACTCAGACTTAAGCGAGAACTACCGACCTTCCAATAGTAGCACTCACTACTTGCCATGACCTTGTGCATAAGTGTTACCTTTTTTCTTATTGTACTGGTTATTACAATAAACCTTTACTTATTTTATCCACCATGTTTGTCAAGTATATATTCCTATTAGCATGGAATATAACATGAACATATCCTAAAAATCTTGTCAGCTTTAAATAATCCATTGAAGTTGATAAAAACAAAATAAACTAAACTAAATGATAACCTTCTCAAGTCAGATGTCAATCATTATTTATCTTTCTCATCCACATATTTCCAATTTCCTACCACCTCCTCTTTCATTCATATCACATACATCATTCATCATAACCATTTTAATGGTAACCCTATACATTAAGGCTCTTCACTTATTAGGTGAACTTTAGTATTACAAAAATCTGCATTGGCTATTTTTTGTCTTATCAGAAGTAGCAACAATGGAAGCAGTAAGAGTTGCATCAACAACATTGATTGATTATTATTAATCTTTCCATCGTTGAAATTGCCAAAGACTTAAGTTTTTAAATCTGAAAGAAAAAGAAAAAAACCATTAGACACTTAAACTCAATTCACATTTAAAATCAGTCCAAGTTATTGGAACACCCTTTATTTACATTGCTCGAACTGTTGTCCTCACCTTTATTGTCATATTCACAATATTTCAGCAGTTATATGCTCCTGTCTTCTTTGGGTGATATACATTTGAATCTCAAATCAAACCCAGAATAATCAATTTGTATGTTGACGTTTCTGAAGATTGGTTCAATGACGTTTGTTTAGACATTCTTCCCATGTTTATTTCCTGAAATGGGCTGTCATATGACCTTTACATTCCTGGGCTGCTCAGTAAAATCACTGAGAATCTGTTCCATTTCCTTTGCCCTTGATTAATCTTTTAGTTTAATAGAAAGATAACATTTGAAAAATTGTTTCTCTGCCCATTCACCTGCACATGCATGAACATATTGGTTGAAAATATCAAGAGAAATTTTTTCAGATAGAAAGCATATTCAAGTAAAAAAAAAAAAATTCTCTTTGCTTGCAACAGTTATATGGATTTCTCAGCACATCCATGTTACTACCAAATGAGACAATGTCAAGGCTTAAAATGAGTGTAACAGCAATACTATGGAAAAATTGCTGGAGTCCCCTCAGTACTACACTTTTGGGGACACCTTAGACACTGAGTAATAACCCCAGCTCCCACCTGAAGAAGAAGAGTTGCCTGGGGATGACCCCATAAGGCTTGAACTGATACTATTTTGAAACTACCCAGTCAAGCCACAAAACAGTTATAAATGTACTGTATGAGTCATTTAATGCCAAAATTTAATTTTCTTGGAAGCATTAGTAATTTCTTTTACTAAAAGTATTGCTGGTATTTTTTTCTTTTACAAAAATGTTTTGCTGGTACAATCTTTTATTTTAATAAAAATGTATTGCTGGTAATATTTTTTTATCTTTTTACAAAAGCATATTAATGATAATTTTTTTTAATTGTGATAATATGTTTCTGGCACCTCCACTATAAAAATAGATTTCTACACTTTTATAGTGTTTTAATCCCAATTTGGGATTTAACTATTTGCCCATAGCTGGGACCCTAACAGGTGTTACCATCCAAGGTTAGGGTAGACCTGTGAACAACAGCAATTAAGAGGTGATTCCATGCTCCTCAAAACCTCTTTATCAGAGGTCTTGCTACCAGATGTAGTTTATCGTCATACCCAGGAAGCAAATCGATTGTAGTGAGTCTTGACAAGAAAGTGAATTAAAATAAAATATATAAACAAAAACAAAGAATTCAAATTAAAATAAGGCATTTGCTTTTCTTTAAAACCCATATCTCTTTTTCTCTCCTTTTCTTTCTATACTTTTCTTCCAACTAATGAGAAGCTAACCTTCAAATACAAAAGAGATTTAAGATAAACTGAACTAGCTACAAGTCTAGCCATTTGTGATTAAAAATCTGCCAAATAAGAGAAACTCCATGCACAAAAAGTGGAAAAGAAAGGAACACCAGAAGATAAAATAATTTTGGCCAATCGAAAAAAATTAATACAAAGAGATGTCTGATGTTAGCCAAAACCAAGCTTCACACCAGAGTCTGGGAGACTGGTCAAAAAGGATATAAACATATAGACAAGAAGCAGAAGCTAAAAAGGGACTACCAAAGAAACCAGCCAAACGTGTCTTGTGAAGAAGTTAAGCTAAGCGGTCATCTGCTTAAAACAGTTTTCTGCCCTTTTCTTCTGCCAAGAAAAGACAGCAGATTGTTGCTGCCATCTATTTCTAAGGTGACAACTACTACCAAGGTTTGGTTTCTAAACTACCAATTACCAAGTTGAAACACATTCTCCCAACTGCTACCAAAATCTGACTTATAAACAAACTTTTGCTACTCCGGAATTACAAAGGACTCACTCCACTCTAAATCAAATAAATTAATATATATTACAAGTTTATACACTTGATTCAGTTTGTTTTAGTTCCAAAGTTCTGATAAATAATACCAAGAACCCTCTATCAGTCTATCCCACAGTACTATTACAGATTCTAGTACAAATGATATGTTCACTTATAAAAATGCCATGAATCTATTTCTTCTTCCCCCAGCTATGGGTTAAATAGCAGTGTAGACTGAACTCTGAACACCAGTCTAGGAGAAAGATAATCCTTGATTCAAAGCTATGGAGAAACTACTCTACTATCAAGAGAGCTCCTCTAAACAAATTGTTGTCCAATTCTTATTATTAGAATTGATTATGCTGTACTAATTATTTCAATAGTGCTCTGTATTTTTTGGGGGGGATGGAGTCTGTAGGTAGTGTTATGGATTTCAGTTTAGAAAATTGGTAAACTGAGTTCAAATTCCAGGGTAGCTCCCTGCATTCACTTTCTAACAAAACACCCTCGGAAAAAGCATGAAAGCATCACTTCTCCCCAACTATGGGTTAGATAGCAGGGTAGACTAGACTCTGGACATTTAGGTGGCAACCAATCTAGTCAGAGAATAACTCTGGATTCAAAACAGTGGAAAAGGCAATGGGAAACCGCTCCACTACTTTTCCCAAGAAGTTATGGCAATTTTCAGATAATAAAGAAACAGAATCTGGGGAGAGCCATGACTGCTGATGTTCTGAAGAGACATGGCATTTAAAAAGAAATAGGGGTAGGACGAATACCTGGGGTATTGAACATCCTTATCTTTTATAGGTCACCAGCACTTGAAATAAAGAGACATGCTACTCTTTCTTTTTATTAGCATTTCTTTCATCTTATTTTTCATGTTTTTCAAGAGCCAAGTTCGAATTCCAGTGGAATCCATTACATTTACTTATATGCTAATACCCTTGGGAAAGGTATGAATCCTATTCTTCTCCCCCCAGCTATGGGTAAATAGCAGGACAGACTGGGTTCTATAGCCTTGGATGGCAACTGGTCTACCCCAGAAAGAAATGGCAACCTACTGTGAGAAAACATCTGCCTCGTCAGTCATGTATCAAAAGATACATGATCGCCTATGCATGTATCACACATGGCACATAACTAAAAAAGTGATAGTATTCAATGTATGGGTAACATTTCACATACTTTTACACCTAATAATAATAGTCTTGGATGTGTAGGTAACATTTATCATACCTTTTACTCCTAATAGTAATAATCTTGTATGTGTGAGTAGCATTACCCATAACTATTACACCAACTAGTAATAGTCTTGGATGTATGGATATCATAATGGTTACTGATGCAAAAAATGGAATCAGTGAACACAAGTTCAAATTCAAGCCTAAGAATTGTTCACTTTATCTATTAATCCCCTTAGGAAATGCCTGAATCAACCTCTTCTCCCTCCAGATATGAATAAAATAGAAAGGTAGACTAGGCCTACTAAACTTGGTTAGCAACCAGTTTAGGAGAAGGGCTACTCTGAATTCAAAACCATAAAGATAGTAACAGGAAACCACTCCACTCTTTTTCTCAATAATTTATAGCAATTTTCTAATATTATATAAAAGGGGGCTGCAGAAAACAAGGATCCTCTACATCATCAAGGGAGATGATATTAAAAGATACTTTTAAAAAAACAGTATCGGCAAACCAAGTTCAAATTCTGAGACAGATGATACCTACTTTTCATTAACGCTCTTTGGAAAGGCAAGAATTCATCTATTCTTTAAAGATTAAATACCATGTACGCCTATTAGGACTTAAACTTAACCCAAACCTCAAGCGGAACTCTTACATACAACTCTTTTCTAAAGATGCTAGAAAAATGGCTAGTTCCCTGTACCACACCAGTAAGTACCTGACTCCTTGTGCTATCCTCTACCTTTACAAGAGTCAGACCAGGCCTAAAATGGAGTACTCTGCCATATATGGGCAGAAGCTGCCCAGTTCTCACTTTCCAGTCTTGATAGAGCCCAAAAGTGTATTTGCTGTCCTTGTGGGTGATGAATTATTTTCCACTCTGCAACCCTTTCTCCACAGATGAAACATTGCAAACCTCTCACTGTTCTATTGCTATTTCCATGGAATGTGCTTAGACTACATTCCTTTGTTCCACCGGTTCTAATCTTTACAACTAAGACCCACCATGCCAGGTATATTGTAGCAAACCACCTTCATTCCATTTGTATTCAATTGGTGAGACATAAGTTCCACTCGAACACCTGTTTTGTGCAACTGTTGTTGTTGATGTGGTCCTCCCAACTGATGTGAAGGATTCTTTGGAGCTTCATTTGCTGGAACTGGTCAAAGTCCAAATTACACTGTTCATTGGCATGCTTTAGACTTCACTTAAGCCACAACACTTGTCAGAAAAAAATATTGATTTGTTATAATTTTAGAAGAGGAGAGATTCTTGTTCATAATATTGATAGAGTGTCTGTAGTGATATGTAAATGACTGTTTAATTAGCATAGCTAAGGCATAGACTATATAAATGCCCAATCAATAGGGATATGCAAGATAAACAACTACTGATGGACTGATAAAATATGAAGGAAATAACACTTCATAACAGTGTCAAATTAATCCCTGAATTTTATAGAGTTATTGGACTTAGTTGTTTTGTCATCGAAAGCACGTTTTGTGGGGGTTAAAAAAAATTTCTTTTAAATAAAGAGCAAATGGATACATACATTTTTAATTAAAGAACAGAAATTTACATAAATCAATTAAAATATATATATATATATTTCTTTCTTCATTTAAGATAAATAATTATTAACCACAAATGTTTGTGTATTCGCTTTCAAAAAAATCCCATACAGAAGCAAGATTACCAATGTTTCTGTACTCAATATAAACAGACAGATTTTCTGTTTCAGTGATTGAGTTGCCAATGTTACTATTGTGCGAAACCTTGTGATTCTAATTTCCTGTGTGTTTGTCTTCTCTTTCTTTCTGTTTTGGTTATGTTCGACCTTTATTTGCACCATTCCTGTGTGGAATTCTTCATTGCCTCTGCCGTGGACATGTCTCCGGTTTTCTTTTGCTTCATTTTGTTGTCTCTGTGTTCGGTTCATCCCTCCTCATTTGTGTTCCAGCAGCAGAAAAATCAAGTTTCAGATGAATGAATGCTAATTTACAAAAACTATTCCCCAAAATAATTTTCCCCAACATTTTTCAAGTGGACCAGTTGAAATCATGCCAGAAAAAATTTTAATATCAAAATGACACAAGAACTTCATATAATATATCTCAACTAAATTTATAATAAAACAAACACTTACTGGTCATCTCCAAGTCGATAGCCAGAGTCAACACTGAAAATGTTTCTCACACTCTGCACTGTTGCCCTATAAAAAAAGAATTTAAAAAAAACAACACAAAAGTTGAGAATATATTTTTTACTGTTAATTAATTACTTTATGTCAGGTGACTTTACTAATACAGGTAGTACCATATAATCCAATACTACAAGCCTCATGAATGGGGCATTGACAACTAAACCAATTCCCCCACCAGACTTTTCTTGTGAGGAGAGTAGCTAGACAGTCAGCAAGATCAAAAACAAAGCATGTCAAAGGTCAGATGAAACTTCCTGCAGGGTTAATGGCCATCAAACACAATAGGGTAGACTGGGCTCCATATCTATGGATGCAGTGAGTGTGGTGATGACATGGCATCACTGGATTTCGTAGACTTCTTCGGATGGAATCAATGGTCACATGTGTGTGACCAAGATAAGCCTTTAAGGACATTAGCCGTGGTTTGACCTGGAGAGGGATGGGATCCACCAGGTCTAATTGCCCAACATACACTATGCAAATTTCAACCCAGATGTTGAAGGGATCTGATCAGGTGCTCAACCGCACAGCAACCCTAGAACCACACCTGGTTATGTGACTGATAATGATGAATTATTTGACCATCAAAATAAAAAAAAGATAATTCCTGTTTTTCTATTAACCTTGTAAAAAGAAATAGTAAATATGAGAATTGTGAAAATTATAAAACTTCTCTATGCAATTGCACTATCTTACACTTTGATAATGGTAATATCAGCCATTTGCTTATAAGGAAATATTTGACATTCATTTACTGAGCAGCCAGTATTACTTGAAATTCATAAAATCTTTCTTTTGATTCATTGCAGGTCAGCTGCTAGGAAAGTTGATTCATTGTGTCATGCTAGGCAATTTTTCCCTCCAGAGTGTATCTTAGATCTCTATAAGTCTACCATTTGTCCATTCTTAGAATATTGCTGCCGCACATGGTCTGATGCTCCTGCTATATATTTAGAGATCTTACTTATTATAAAAGGCAGATTGTGTGTGTGTGTGTGTGTGTGTGTGTGTGTGTGTGTGTGTGTGTGTGTGTACGTTTATATATTGGATTGGATTTCCTACATTTTTCAACCGATTTCAACAAAACTTCACAGGACTACGTAAAATTACATTGCGGTGGTTCTAACAGCGCCAAAAATTGGAAAAACACAATTGTTTTTGCACGAAATCAATTTGAAAACCTGATTAAGAGGCATCATGAGAATGAAAGGGGGGACAACTCATATCGAGTTATACTTATTATAAAACCCAGGTTTGTGTGTGTGTGTGTGTGTGTGTGTGTGTGTGTGTTGTTCATTTATATATGGATCGGATTTCCTACATTTTTCAACTGATTTCAACAAAACTTCACTGTTTTTTTTTTGGCAGATAGTGTTTCTTATTGTCTTGCACACGTTTTTCTTTATTTTTAAATACAGAATGCTTTAAAAATTCCATTTACAAGACAATTGTTTATCATAAAATTCTATTCAATTGGTAGATCCATAACAATTGAATACAATGTTTTTGTTTGAGTTTGGGTTTGACCAATTCGTAAAAAAAAAAACTAATTAAGACATGTGTGTCCGCCAACCTTAAACAATAATCTTTGTCAATTTTATTTTTCAGTCTTTATGATGGTTGATACTTGATCTATCTCTTACTGTTACATCCCCGGGCAATGCCGGGCTCTACTGCTAGTTCTTAATATAATCCAAAGAAGAATCAGCAATATTATTGATCCCGACCTGGCATCTCAGCTTCAATCATTTTCCCATTGCTGTAAAGTTGCCTCCCTCTACCTTTTCTAAAAATACTTTAATGGTAATTGTTTGGATGAGCTCTTCACTATGGTACCTAGACTTTTTGAATTTAAGTGCAGTACTAGATTGGCAACATGGTCTCACCAATTTACAGTTGAATTGGCTAGATGTAACTGTAAGTTCTATGCTAACAGTTTCTTTTCTTGCACATCCCACCTGTGGAACTCTCTTTTGCCCCAATGCTTTCTTTCCTTCCAATTTTAATCTTCAAAATTTTAAATGCAATGTCAATCATTATCTACTGTTTTTCTGTTTACTCTTCTATTGTTCTTGCTCCTTAATAATGTTTCTGTTTTCTAACTCTTTCACACCCAGTAACCCCTTGTATCTTAGTGGTTTTACTGCCTTGCTTGGGGGTGATCTCAATTAAAAAATTATATTAAACAGTTTTTCAGTAAAATAGGTTTTTTTCAAAGCCACTAATTGTTATTGCTCTTTCCAGTACTGTTATATACCATGTATGGTTGCAAAACCGATCCTGAACCCGTTTATACAGGTTCAATGGGCATATTTTTGGCTGAGCCCATGGGCTTAGAGATCCCACATTAAACCTGCCTTGTGCCACATGATGCCCTCGTGGGGGGGGTGACTAAATATCGTCAGTCAGTCGATGTCAGACGACAATTAGTCAAATACGAATGTATCAGCGACCACCACAAGATTACTCTGGGTAATGCCTATTATATCAAGTTCCTAACATTTTGTACGTCGAACCTATTTAGTACAAATACAAGCCTCCACTGTGAAGTCACTCCACAACAATATTTATGTTCAATGTTTTAAAAATTAATTTCATCTTTTCCATATGTCTATTTTATGGGAGGTGGCAATGGTAATGATAATATTAGCCCTTTCCCTTTGAGGAAACATTTGACATTCATTAACCAGACAGCCAGTACTACTTTCAATTAAAAATTATAAAATTTTTCTCTTAAAACAATTTTTTCAAGAAAACAGATTTCTCGAGTCCAGTAACTGTTATTATTCTTTCCAATATTGATGGGGTTTTCCTTCCTAGCCTTTTGTTTGAAGTAGTGTGAAATGTCAACATGTTTATTATGTAGTGGGGGAGTTATAACTCTGAGTAAAGAATTATAAAACCCTGTATCTGTCTATATTTCTGAGATGAGGTATTATGTACACTATTTACTTTATTCCGACTATTGTGCTCATCTTTGTCACCATACTGATTACAACATTTCGGCCATTCAGTATCTGTCTATATTTCTGAGATGAGGTATTATGTACACTATTTACATTATTCGGACTATTGTCCTCACTGCAGTGGAGAACTTGGAGAGGGGAATTAACAGATAACTGACATCCATTAAACACGGCACGTGGAACTAGAACAGTCTACCCCAGTGAGCAAAATAAAGGGTTCAGTTCGACATTCCAACCACCTGAAGAAGGCAGGAGTGTACAATAATGTAAATAGTGGCCATTGCAGGTTATTTAAAGCTAGAAAATATTTTAGATTGTAAGAATTTTTTTTGAGATAATAATGATTTACTATTGTCCTCAACACTGTCGCCATGATTATCACAAGGTTTCGGACGTTGTATGCTCCGGCCTTCTTCAAGGACACATGGCACAGTGTTAGTTAGATCCAGTGACAGGACCCAAAGAGTGTGAGTTCAATACCTGGTTAAGGCAGTGGATAACTTTGAGAGGGGAATTAACAGGAGATAACTGACATCCATTAAACATGGCACGTGGAACTAGAACAGTCTACCCCAGTGAGCGAAATAAAGGGCTCAGTTCGACATTCCAACCACCTGAAGAAGACCAGAGCGTACAACAGCCAAAACGTTGTAATAAATATGGCAACAAAGATGTGAACAATAGTCCAAATAATGTAAATAGTATAAAACCCTGATATTTATATATGCAAAAATACTCATAAAACTGAGAAACAGCAAGACATGGAAAACAAGTATTACTTATTATCTGGTTGTTATGTTTGAGGCATGAGAGACAGTAAAACAGAGTAAAATTGTCAGTTTGGAGTCAAATGTAGAAACAAGATAATGAATAAGTTCAGTGTATACAGTCTTTCTCGTAAGTTTTTTTTATAGATGTGTGTAATAAGTGTCCATATAATTTAGTCGGAAAATACAAGAAATGTTTGGGGTTTTCTTACCTCAAATTTTTATTGATTGCTAAAGGATAAATGTTCCTATTATGGCCTGAAAACAGGAAAGGAGTTGATGCACATGTTGATGGCCTGTCCTTGTTGACTGCTTGTCTGGTAGAGAGAAAGTCACGTGTTTGTGTGTGTAGAGAAGAAAAGTGTGTTCAATTCTCATTGGTTTAGAAAGAGTGAATCAATGATAATTATAATTGTTATAATTATTTTATTATAATTATTTTTGACACTGTAATTAATATTTTTATGGCCACAACACAGTAACAGTATAACTAATTTTTTATTTATGTATTTCTTTATAGACACAATAATGTCATTACCATATATATATATATATATATATATATATATGCAAATTTTTATGATCAGTTTTTTTAATGAAAATAGAGGGTTGCACTATACACGGGTAATTTTTTTATGGAGGGGTTAAAATTCCTGCAAAAATATTGCACTATACATGAAGTCAACTTATACATGAGTATATAGTATTTCCTTTTGGAGTTTGATGTGCTATCCATTTTAATTGTTGCTACTGTTGGCAGTCCTCAAGTGATGGGGTTTCTGTTATTTGGTACAGTTTTTTGTTTGTGATTCTGTAGTGCCAGTCCACAATGTTCAAAAATGGATGATCTTTGCCAAGACTCTTAAGGCCTTACTCACTCAAAGCCTTTTTTAACCATTGATCTTAGAAAGCGATTGTATTATGACACTTCTTGCTAGTTGGTCCTGAGTCAATTCCTATGCTGATCAATACTTCTGCTGGTTGTTGAAGTGGCCATCCCAGTCTGCACTCCTGCTCTGTGCTTTTTGATCTCAGAGCTGACAAAGACTGAGTTATCATCAGCAATTATAGCACTCGTTCGACCCACAGCAAAGCTGTGTCACAAAGGAAAAATAAAAAAAATGTTCTTTGCAGAAGAAATAAAATACAGGAAATTCTTTGAGTCAATTTTCAATGTGGTTTATATAGTTCTTTGTAAAGAAAAATTAACCCTTCCCACTTTAAATTCTATTGTGATGCTTTGCTCATTTTAGCTAAGTCTGGAACAAGGCTTAAG